TGGGGCCATTTGGGGCCATTTGGGGTCACATTGGGGCCATTTGGGGTCACACTGGGGTCATTTGAGCCCTTTTGGGGACACATTGGGGCCATTTGGGGTCATTTGGGAACAATCGGGATCATTGGGGCCATTTGGGGTCACATTGGGGTCATTTGGGGTCATTGGGGCCATTTGGGGTCATTTGGGGTCACACTGGGGTCATTTGGGGCCCTTTGGGGTCATTGGGGTCATTTAGGATCACACTGGGACCATTTGGGGTCACTGAGGCCATTTGGGGCCACATGGGGTCATTTAGGGCCATTTGGGGTCATTTAGGGTCACATTGGGGCCGTTTGGGGTCATTTGGGAACAATTGGGATCATTGGGGCCATTTGGGGTCACATTGGGGCCATTTGGGGCCCATTGGGGTCATTGGGGCCATCTGGGGTCATTTGGGGTCACATCGGGGTCATTTGGGGTCATTGGGGCCATTTTGGGGCCATTTGGGGTCAATTTGGGTCAATTTTCTGCCATTTTGGGTCATTTTGGGGCCATTTGGTGCCATTTTGGGCCATTTTGTCACCTTTTATGGTCATTTTGGATCAATTTGGGGCCATTTTGGGTCATTTGGGGTCAATTTTTGGTCATTTTGGGTGGACTTTGTGCCATTTAGGGCCATTTTGTGACATTTTGTGGCCATTTTGGATCAATTTGGGGTCATTCTGGGTCAATTTTCTGCCATTTGGGGTCATTTGGGAGACACTTTGGGACAATTTTCTGCCATTTTGGGTCAATTTTCTGCCATTTTGGGCCATTCTGGGTCAATTTTCTGCCATTTTGGGGCCATTCTGGGCCATTTAGGGTCATTTTGGGGCCATCTGGGGTCAATTTGGGTCAATTTTCTGCCATTTTGGGTCAACTGAAAGCCATTGGTGGCCATTTTGGGTCCATTTTTGGGCCATTTGGGGCCATTTGGGGTCAATTTTCTGCCATTTTGGGTCCTTTTGGGGCCATTTTGGGTCCATTTAGGGCCATTCTGGTTTAATTTTCGGCCATTTTGGGTCTTTTTGGGGCCATTTTGGGTCAATTTGGAGTCAATTTTCTGCAATTGTGGGTCATTTTGAGGTCATTTTAGGTCAATTTTCTGCCATTTTGGGTCATTTGGGGCCATTTTGGGTCCATTTAGGGCCATTCTGGGTCAATTTTCTGTCATTTAGGGTCATTTTGGGGCCATTTGGGGTCAATTTGGGTCAATTTTCTGCCATTTTGGGTCATTTTGAGGCCATTTTAAGTCAATTTTCTACCATTTTGGGCCATTTAGGGTCCATTTATGGCCATTTAGGGTCATTTGGGGGCCATTTGGGGCCATTTTGGTCTCAGTTTGGGGCCACTTTGGGACAATTTTCTGCCATTTTGGGTCAATTTTCTGCCATTTAGGGTCATTATGGGGCCATTTTGGATCATTCTGGGTCAATTTTCTGCCATTTTGGGTCCATTTATGGCCATTTTGGGTCATTTTGGGGCCATTCTGGGTCATTTTGGGTCAATTTTCTGCCATTTTGAGCCATTCTGGGTCAATTTTCTGCCATTTAGGGCCATTTTGGGGCCATTTAGGATCATTTTGAGGCCATTTTGGGTCATTTTGGGGCCATTTTAGGGCCATTTTCCGCCATTTAGGGTCATTTTGGGGCCATTTTTGGTCATTCTGGGTCAATTTTCTGCCATTTTGGGTCAATTTTTGGGCCATTTAGGATCAATTTGGGGCCATTTGGGGCCATTTGGGGTCAATTTTCTGCCATTTAGGGTCATTTTGGGGCCATTTTGGATCAATTTTGGGCCATTTTGGGTCAATTTTCTGCCATTTTGGGCATTCTGGGGCCATTTTAGGGCCATTTTCTGCCATTTAGGGTCATTTTGGGGCCATTTTGGGCCATTTTGGGCCAATTTTCTGCCATTTTGGGTCAACTGAAAGCCATCTATGGCCATTTAGGGTCATTTTGGGGCCATTTGGGGCCATTTTGGGGCCATTTTTGGGCCATTTTGGGTCAATTTTCTGCCATTTTGGGCCATTTTGGGTCCGTCTATGGCCATTTAGGGTCATTCTGGGGCCATTTTGGGTCCATTTATGGCCATTTAGGGTCATTTTGGGGCCATTTTGGGACATTTGGGGCCAATTTTCTGCCATTTTGGGTCAACTGAAAGCCATTGGTGGCCATTTTGGGTCCATTTTGGGGCCATTTTTGGGTCATTTTGGGTCAATTTTCTGCCATTTTGGGTCATTTTGGGGCCATTTTGGGTCCATTTAGGGCCATTCTGGGTCAATTTTCTGTCATTTAAGGTCATTTTGGGGCCATTTAGGATCATTTTGGGCCAATTTTCTGCCATTTTGGGTCCATTTATGGCCATTTAGGGTCATTTTGGGACCATTTTGGGTCATTCTGGGTCAATTTTCTGCCATTTTGGGGCCATTTGGGGCCATTTAGGGTCATTTTGGAGCCATTTTGGGTCATTTTGGGTCAGTTTTCTGCCATTTGGGGCCATTTGGGGTCAATTTTCTGCCATTTAGGATCATTTTGGGGCCATTTTGGGCCATTTTGGGTCATTTTGGGGCCATTTTCTGCCATTTTGGGTCAACTGAAAGCCATTGGTGGCCATTTAGGATCATTTTGGGACCATTTTGGGTCATTCTGGGTTAATTTTCTGCCATTTTGGGGCCATTTGGGGCCATTTAGGGTCATTTGGGGGCCGTTTGGGGCCATTTTGGGCCATTTTGGGCTCAGTTTGTGGCCACTTTGGGACAATTTTCTGCCATTTTGGGTCATTCTGGGTCAATTTTCTGCCATTTTGGGCCATTTTGGGGCCATTTTGGGTCAATCTGTGACTTTTTCTGGCCATTTTGGACAAATTTGGGTCAATTTGGGGCCATTTTGGGTCAATTTTTGGTCATTTTGGGTCAATTTTGGGACATTTGGGGTCAATTTTCTGCCATTTAGGGTCATTTTGGGGCCATT